GCCGTCGCGCCGCCAGTCCCCTTCTCACCCTTCGCCGCCCTCCCCCCTCATCCGGACACCCCACCTCCGCTCGTTGCACTCCCCTCCACGCAGTCGTATCGCCTGATGGTGCAGCATGCACACGACTCTCCCTCCCTCCCCCTCCCTCTCTCTTTCTTTCTCTCTGCGCCCCTCTATCTGGCTCCACCGTGTCGCTCCCTCACTCCTCTCCCTTCACCGCCCCTTTCCCGTCGTCCCAAGTCCTCCGAGGACGCACCATCGCCGCGGATCTTGACCTATTTTTGCGGGGGAGGGGGGGATCCAAGGGGTAGGTGCAGCGCCGCTGGTTTTCTTTACGCTGTCGAAATTTCAAACTGGAAGTTGGACGGTGCCAGAAGGAAAGATGAACGCGAGCGAACTGCGGAACAATGAACGGCGTTCATTGAATTTGAATCGAAGCTTAGTAAATTCAAATGCTAATACTGACTGATGGTAAGTAATAAAATGGAATGATAAAAAGAATATATTATGCTAATTTTTAATGGTGTAATGAACAATACCGTAATGCAATGGTGTATTATATTACTTTTAATGTACTGCAATAATTATTACAGTGTATTAAAAGTATATTAAGTAATATTATGAGAATACAATAATACGCTGTTATTATTATTATCAAATAATGTTACTTTGTAATATTAGTAATTGCTAATAATAATAATAATAAATATAATGGCGTATTATTATATCCTTATAATATTCCTTAATGTACTCCTAATATACTTATAATAGTGGAGTCGTAACACCGGAGCTGACGTCAAGATTTTGTAACACAATTACTGACGCTGGGTCTGTAAGACCCAATTAATTTACGTTAACTGAAAGGTAACTAATTAATATCAAGGAATCAAAATAACAACTCATATAAAAGAGAAAATAAAGATAGTCAATATATTTTTAATAAGAATAACCGAAATTTTTTTTTCAGACATAACACAAAGAAAATTAAATTGTTTGGCATTCTCGATAAAGATATAAAATTTATATTGAATCCAATAGAGTCATCGTGTCAGCTTCGGAGGGTTAAAAACATCTTGTTAGTCGACTTAAAACAAGTATAGCGATGTAGTTCGATCTAATATACCGCAAATTATTGCGAATGCACTCGCGCACCAGCCGGAGCAGCCATGGATTCTCCCATCCATAAATTTTAAGCAAACCGTCGTAAACTTTGTAAGAATCCAGATGACGATGTTTAGACTTTCGGGACCAGACGCATCTTGTCTCTGATACTGCGCTTGATCGGAGACACCCTGTATACACGGTTGAAGGTTACGCACGGAGGGGAAACGAATGGGTCGGATGGAATGCGCGTGGAACTGGAGGAAAGGGTGAGGAAGGGGTTAGGGAGGGGCGGGGGTGGAGGAAATCTACGACCGTCCGCACGCGTGTTCCCGCGGTCGCACGTCTCTCGTTCTTTTGTCTCGCACTCTCGTGTGACGAGGCTTTTCACAGTCACGATCATCTGGAAAACTGTGGAGCGATCCTCCCCCTCCACCCCTCTCCCCTTTTTGCAATTTACTCTTGCGAGCCTCGTCGCACGTAGTGATCCATTTTTCCGCTTCGCCACTCAACCTCAAATGCAAACGGCGTAGATGAGCCGCACAACTCATTGCACTTAAGACATAAGGATTTTGTCTTATTTTTAGTATATTTCGCGTTTCTCTGTATAGCTACGAAATAAAAAATTTCCTAATTTTCGCAATTGCGACTGTTTGAAAAATTAATAGCAAATTCGCTGCATATAATTGAAAGAGGATTTTTTCTGAAAGTGCTTTTAGGAATTAAAAATATTTAATAAATCATAATGTTTTTAAGAACGCTTTAAGGAATTTAAAAATATTTTTTTAAAGTAATTTTTAAGAAAATTATTTATTGAAACATTTTGAATTTTTTACACGTAAAAGATACATATTTTATGAATATCTCTGAATTTTTGCGTCCATATTGGGCTCCTCTTTCTCTCTTTTATGGTTCAATCAATGATGATCCGGGGCGATTTGTGGGAGTTTCCTTTTCTCTCCTCTGGCCCTGAAATAAAAGAAATTAAAGTTTCTTTCTCGTCGTTACTTTTAACACTGAACCTCCAAAAAATACTTCAAAATATAAAAATAACAAATTGGCCGTTTATAAAAGTAAAAGTTTATTAAGGCTTTACTTTGGCTCCTAAAAAGAAATTTCCTTTAAAGCCATCGTGTACAAATTGATATAAAATGTGTGTTTATATATAAATACAAAAATATGTTAAATTTCAAAATCATCCTACACTTTATTGTATTTCGCAACGTGTTTATTTATATTACTATCAAATATTTGTATTTCATTTTTACATCAACGTACAGTTGTCTTAATGGTAGTGCGCACTTTGAATTCATCAAAAAGGAATTCAGTCGAATTCGCTTCTGGATATCTTTTCGCGATATTAAGAGATCGTTATGGAGATCGGAATGGAGAGGGTTTGGAATTTACTAGTATAATCTCTCTCGCGTTTCTCGAAGTCTCTGAAATCTCTTTCAAAACCTTGTACATGCGTCATTCGCCGAGCATTGCACCGACCGAACAACAGCGTGCAGTCACGTGGCGGTATCTTGAATAAACATTTTTCTTTCGGGGCCGACAATCTGCTTTGAAGATTCGCGCGTGTCAAGTATTATATATGTATACAGCCTCGGCCAAAAAAATTAGGCATTTAAAGTTTTTTGCTAAAAAATTGATTAAAGTATTCGCTGCACCGAGAAAAATACTTGCTTATCTCAACTAGAATTCTAATAGATTTAACTAGAAAATTCTGATCGTTCATTTTCAATCAGAATTTCAATTAATTCAACCAAATATCTTTTTCAATGTATAATAAGCGTAGATAAAATCAAAAGAAGCATAGATAAATGGACTATCACGTGCAATACAAGCATTCTAGAATTTAGTAGATTCCAGAAAATTCTGATACGTCCAGACATTTTCTCGGTGTATAAATTATCCTTGTTCACAAGAACCCTTTAAATTTCTACGTAATGCCATTGTAGGTGGTAGAGATGCAAGAATGTCAGATGAAAAATACAAGTTCCCAATTTTTTTGACCAAGGCTGCATTTAATCCCGTCGCATCGTTCGAACAATGACGCCGGTTAGATGTAGTCGAAATATAAGGGATTCCGTCACGTTGCAGCAATGTGACCGGGGATGAGGCCTCCGCACAGGTCGCCGACTCACGTTTTCCGTGTAATCCGAGCCTTAAAATAGAACGATTA